CATTCAGAACCTTCTAAAAGACAAAAAGAAAAAGCACCTTGCGAAATTCTTTCATTTTACTTTCCGATATATTGATGATGTTCTATCATTGAATAACCCATATTTCAGCCAATACTTACAGCTCATATATCCCAGTGAACTTGAAATTAAGGATACTACTGATACTAGAAGGACTGCTTCATACCTTGATCTTTTCCTCAATATTGACACAGATGGACGACTTCACACGAAAATCGATGATAAACGGGACGATTTCAACTTCCCAATTATCAATTTCCCTTTTCTCAGCAGTAACATACCCTCTGCCCCTTCGTATGGTGTTTACATATCTCAATTGATACGTTATTCTCGTGCTTGTTCACACTATACGGAATTCATATACAGGAGTGTGCTCCTTACGCAGAAACTGCTCCAACAAAGTTATGAGGAGGACAGATTAAAAATGACACTCCGTAAATTTTACGGACACCATCACGAATTGGTTGATCCATACGATGTGTCTTTGTCCAAACTAACTAAGGACATTTTAACCACGTGTTAGATTGTGGTTTGTCATTACGTCGTCTGATCTTTAAATTACCGAACGTGACTTATTCCCGATTGTGACTGTTTTGCTGAGTGTGAAACCGCATTGCTATAAGACGTGTCACGGTACTTTTCTATCCCAAATTCATGTATTTAATTTTGATGTTATATTTGTTATTCTCGTCGGATTTTGTCAAATGTCTTAACGTCTTTTCTGTTATATTCGTGTGTTATGGTAAAGATAATTAATCACCCCCTTCATTTATTAGATTTTAGTTTGGTTCAACGAAATTTATACGATATATTTGGTTTACAGTTTGATTCAGAAGAAACACCGACATAGCTAGATAATACAATTATTATCTAATTACTACCACAATTTGATATTAATAAGTATTGTAATTTTCATTGTTATTAATAAATGTCAGTATTACAAATCTAATCTTGAATCAATCCGAATCCTATCTTTCTTTTGGGAAATATTTTTACAAATTCAAATGTGACGTCACTTTGTGTGTTTTTTTAGAATTTCAAATGTGACGTAACTTTGTGAGTTGAGGCTTTGGCTAACTCGGCTGTGTATTTTTGTGTGTTGGATTAAGTTGTTTTATGTAATGTATCCGTTTTTATTCTGTAGTTAGTCCCCACTTCGGTTTTTCGGTTTTATCATGTATACCTATTATATAGTCATTTAAAAAATTTACTGTTTGCAAAATTATAAATTATTCTAAATAATAAGGATGTTCTTGTCCCAGGCAGAAAACCCTGGCCGTGTTAGGCGCAACTTTTTGGAAGTTTTGGTCCTCGGTGCTCTTCAACTTTGTACTTGTTTTGGCTTTCAAACTTTTTTCATCTGAGCGTCACTGGTTGGTCTTGTGTGGACGAGACGAACGTCTGGCGTATTGGATTTTAAGCCTAGTACCTTTTGTTAGCTATTATTCGTGTGTTTCTTTGTCCTATATGTTCTCCCATTTATTTGTATTGTGGTCCTGTCATGTGATGTTGTCATTTTGGTGTTGTGTTTGACGTTGCCATAAAAGCGGGAGGTTTGGCATGCCACAAAACCAGGTTCAGCCCACCATTTTTTTCTTAAAATGTCCTGTACCAAGTCAGGAAAATGGCCATTGTTATATTATAGTTCGTTTCTGTGTGTGTTACATTTCAATGTTGTGTTATTGTTGTGTCGTTGTTCTCCTCTTATATTTGATGCGTTTCCCTCAGTTTTAGTTTGTAACCCGGATTTGTTTTTATCTCTATCGATTTATGAGTTTCGAACAGCGGTATACTACTGTTGCCTTAATTTGTGTCCTTCTGAAGTCATTTCCTTAAGTGTACAATTCTTTGTAAAACTAGTGACTTATCATTCGGCAAATTCGGTTCTGAGCCTTTGAAAGGCAATGGTAATTCATAGCGTCCTTCATCTCTTCGGATGCCGTCTTGTAATATATTCAAGAATCTTTTGTCTTCACGAGATATCGGCTGCATATCAACTGTCCGATCGGAAAATCTAATTCAATCATCTTGGTAACTTGACTCGGATTAACTTCTTTGGTACGAACGCCAAAGGAATATTGAACATGTTTCGGCTCTGATTTGCTAGTCAATGGGTGAACTTCTAAGGCTAATATTCTATCAGAAATTCCAATTGAGTCACAATCTTCGGCAGAAGTAGGATCAGTGATGCCAACAATACCCCATCCTAAGTCCGTTTTCTGTGCATAAGGGTCGTCGTTTCCCTTACCGGTTATGACCTCTCGAGGGGTTAATACACGTGCGCAATCGTAGCCTATTAAGAGTCCAAACTCACAGTCATTTACTGGCATTAGCTTTTTCGAGACTCCTTCTAGATGCTCCCATCGTTTAGCCATTTCGGAATTGGGAATGTGCGACCGATTAGCTGGCATAATACTTCGTGTGTATGCCGATGGTAACTGAATTTTCAACTCAGTATCGTATCCTCGAACCATAAGTCCCTCAATCTTACAAATATCAACTAACGTATCTTCAGAGTGCATCGTCGACAACGATAACTTGACATCGGTACCAGAGAGTACTAATGTTCGACAAGTGCTTTCTAAAATAAAGGTCCAATCTGATTGCGTATCTAACAGAGCGTGTACGAGTCGTTCATTACACGAGTTATTCAGATGTGAAACGTAGACAGGAACTATCGTCGAGCTCTTACAACTTGAATTAGAATAGTTCAAATGCACTGCTCCCGTTTAAACTGGGACTTTATCTAAAGAAGAATCAGACGTTTCGCTGTTCGACTTAAAGTTCGACTGAAAATCACCGTGAAGTGGTGTCGGATGGAGCTTAGAACAAAGATTGCATCGTTTCCGTCTTTGGCATTTCCTAGAAGTATGTCCGTGACCAAGACAACCAAAGCAAAGTCCTTTTTCTTTCGCAAAGTTCTTTCGCTCGTCTACCGATTTCACAAGAAACTGTTGACATAAATCGATGAAATTACCAGTTTTCTTACAGAATGTACATGTTTGATCCTTGTTGTAACGACTATAGTTTTTATCAAACACTCTCGAATTTCTGTCGCAAGAACGTTTCTACGCTGATTATCATATTTACCACGCTGAAATCGATATGTCTTAAACTTGTCACTAATGCTATTTGTAGTTTCTGATCTCACCGACTGAATCGACGTTACCGGTTCATTGGCTTCCTTTTCTACAATTTCTACAAATGTTTGAAATGAAGGAAATTCACGCTTATCTTCTTTGTGCTTCGCAACGATTCTGGATTATCGTGTTACAACCCAATCTGGTAGTTTTGACAAAAGGTTTTCGATTTTCTCTATCGTAGTTTAGCGCGTTCAATGTTCCCATGATTTTCATCGCAGATAAACACTGTTTCAGAAAGTCGGAAAATTTGTCTCTAGAAAGTATTGTCGGCAAATTATGGAGTCTATCACGAAATGCATTACTGATAATAAACGGATCTCCGTACCTCTTCTCAAGTAGTTTCTTTGCTTCGTCGTAAGCGTCTTCACTAGAAAGTTTTTAATTATCTCTCGCATTGAATCTCAGACATACTTTCGCAAGTAATGGATGCGTTCAAACGGCGGAAATTTTCGTTGTTCAATTAGAGATTGGAATGATGATTCCCACGCAAGATATTTCACCAAGAAACACCGATGGTTCGGGTGGAGGCAGACGACTAAGACTTACTTGTTCGGCGAGTGATTTAGTTAGGTCTTCAATTTGAACGTATTGTCCTGTAAAATTAGCAGTGTTTACATTCTGAGGTACAAATGCTATAGCTGACGGAATCAGAGTTGCCGAACTTACGTTTGTCACAACTGGTGCCGAACTTACGTTGGTTACTACTGGCGCCCAACTTGCGTGTGTCACTACTGGTTCAGAACGCACTTGTGTCACTACTGGCACGGAACTTACACTTTGTACGAATGACTGACTTGCATTCAATGCAGACTGATCTGAGACTAATTGACTGAAGTTGGGTGCAGACTGAGCTTGCCCATATTGATCGACATATGAGACAGATTGGCCTCGACCTTGTAGACTTACAGTCGGGACAGGATGACCTTGAACTGGATAATTATAACTAACATTTTGTATTGACTGACCTTCGGAAGTCTGGAATTTGGCAGAGTAGTTACAAAATCATCATGATCATCCTTAGTATTTTCAATAATGTCATTATCTACTTCACCATCCGGATTAACGTGTTGAAGAATATTAGCTTCCGGAAGTGATCTCTTTAATTCATCTAAATCTAAGCCCTGACTTACTTTATCGATTGCATCTAGCTTGGCTTCTGTAGCCTCTAGTTCACGTATTGTTTGTATCCTTTCCAATTCTAATTTAGCCTTCGCCTCGATTTCAATGTACTTTAATTTTGCCTTCAAGTCTGCGGCTCGCGAAGCAGTTTGTGATCGTTGCGACACACTAGATCTATGTGTATGAAATGAATGAATAGATATTGACTTGCATGTATATGAACCTCTAGTTTCTATATTGTCTCTATCAATTTCCTGAACACGGGTCGTTATCCTTTTCATGAGATCTGCGTGATAGTTTTCACAAGTTTCGTATCGCTTAAATACATCAATTTCACTGTCATTTATTAATTCGGCATGACCACGTGACTCACTTTCATTTTCGATAAGATTCGATAATTGTTTATAAACACTTGTTAAATGAATCATGTTTTCAACTAATATATTTCGATGTTCGCGAATGATATTTGTGTCTTTAGGTCGTATCTCTATTTTGTTTGACCATGACTTCCATGAGGAAACTGCCTTTCAAAAGTTTTTCTGTAAAGTGTCAATTTGCCACTAAAAAAAACTAAAAAACTTCGCTGACTAGTGCTTGTACGAGTTACACCGCTAGCCACACATATATCGCCCTCGACTTTGCCTCGGGACATCATGGTGAATTATTTCAAAATTTCAAGTAATCAACAAAGGGTTTTAAAAAATTATAAAATTGTCAACATGTAGTTTCAATCAAATCATTAAAAATGACCAGGTAAGTGGCAACATAAATCATTAACTATATGATATCAATCAAATATGTAACCCTTTAAAATTCTAGCAAAATTCAAGTGCATCATATTCAAAATAAGCATACGTTTTGTCCCCAAACGTTCATGCATTTCATCATGTTAATACAGTTTAAAGAATCCTTATACCCAATATTCAAATACTATCAAGAATGTAAACATAATACAACATACCAAAACATACCAAATAAATTAATGTAATAACCAATAATGAGTCAATACCTCTAGTAAAAGTTCACTTCAATTGTTCGGTCTTCTTACTGTTGTTTCACGAATCACTATAAAATGTTTATTCTCAAAATTTGTATTTCGCAATCAAAAGTTCAATGGCTTGGATCTTTATACTGGTATATCGCATTTCAAATCTTTGAATCAGGTAAAAGTTGTTGCTTCGCAAAATGTCAACTTTTCCGTCACTTTACACCATTCCACATTTTACAGCATGCCTCATAAAAGTTCTGTTTACAATTACTACAAACGCATCAATCTAAAATTGTTCATCAAATGGGTTCTTAAAATCTGTTTCGCAGTCGTCCACACATCAGACATGTCAATGATGTAGGGTTCTTACTGTAGCTGTGGGCGTCGCAAGAAATATACTGACAGTTCTTAGGCTTTATTTATGTCGCAATTGTTAGATAAAATATACAGTGCATCGCACAATTCACCCCGTGGTTAACATTATACAGTGTTAATAATATGGCCTAGTTTACGTAGTTTACATATATCGTGACATGGTTTACGTAAGAACTGAAAGTAGATGAAAACATACATAAGTTTCAATGCAAATCCCTGTTGCATACCAAATTATTAACAAATCGCAGTATAAACCTTACAGATATCATTATGACAATGTGAATATATCAATTATGCATATCAATACACATTTGTAACATTAATAACATTCAAATTACCTCTTTGGGCCATTAACATGTCAAAAACTTGTGTGTCATTGTTTATCGTTTACGGGAATCTGATGTACCGGGGAAAGAAACGGCATTTTTACTCCTTGTTTTCTGTAAGTAAAATTGTCTCATTTAAATTCCTCCAAAGACAGCTATCAATACTGTTACAATTCATTGATGTAAATAATTGAACTACAGGACTCTACTTTGAAATTATTTTATAGATTTATATTTTTTAAGTGACTTATAGGTCCAATGGGCCGGGTGTACACACATACATTATTATTATACTGTATGTATTCACTAGTGTCAAGCTATCCAGCAATTCTCTTGCGATAAAGCTATCCTGCAATTCGTCATCCTGCAATTGCGTTCGAAAAACTACTTGAGTGACAATTTTATTTTTTTCAAAATAATGGTTTTTGACTGGTTTTGTTTGAAAAAAAAGATAAATATAAAGTTTTTTATATCCCATTCATAAATTTCTAACTTAAGTTTACAAATTTCTAACTCATCTTTACGGTTTTATAACTAGAATTTACATTTAGAAAAATCATTACGATTCACAAAGAGTTATATATCTGTGAAGTCCCGGATACGGTTTGTTTTTATTCATGTTTAAGAAGCACGGAAAATGCAAATTTTATAAAATACGCATTGGGGTACCCACTTTCCGACCCATTGTTTCGGTAGTTTTTAAATGGCAAGGGATTATACACTGTGCTCATATAAATAGCTATTGGATAGTACTACAACGGGAGGGTAAAGAATTTCTTGGGTAAGCATTCTTAAAAGCCAAAAATTTCGTTCGAAACATAGAAATAAAGCCAAAACCGATAAAATACGCTCTGGGGTCACCCACTTTTCAACCAATTATCTGGGTAGTTTTTAGTGGCTAGGGATTAGAGACTCTGCTTCAATGAATAGCTATTATATAGTACTACATTGGGATAGTAGAGAATTTCGCTCGAAACATAGAAATGAAGCCAAATTCGATAAAATACGCGTTGGGGGCACCCACTTTCCGACCCATTGTCTCGGTTGTTCTTTATGGCAAGGGATTATAGACACTGCCCTAATGAATAGCTATTGGGTAGTACTACAACGTGAGGATAAAGAATTTCTGGGGTAAGCATTCTGAAAGGCCGAAAATTTCGTCCGTAACACGGGAAAAGTCAAATTTGATAAAATACGCATTGGGCTCTTTCCAACCTATTGCCTCGGCAGTTCTGTATGGCTAGGAATTATAAACTCTGCTCTAATAAATAGCTATTGGATAGTACTACAGCAGGAGGGTAAAGAATTTCTAGGTAGCATTCTTAAAGGCCGAAAATTTCGCTCGAAACATAGAAATAAAGCCAAATTCGATAAAATACGCGTTGGGGACACCCACTTTCCGACCCATTGTCTCGGTTGTTCTTTATGGCTAGGGATTATAGACGCTACCCTAATGAATAGCTATTGGATGGCTTTTCAAGGGATGGCACACATGTTAAGTACATTTTTTAATTTTAAAGGGAGTGAGGCCGTATATTTAAAAGGCTTAAAATCAGAAGTTTGTTCACGAGCTGTGGTTCGCACGAAATTTTTTATTAGTATTTTTAGAGATTGTACGTCAATTTAAGAATTATGAATACACATATTCTTAGAACAATTGAAGTTAATTTTTTAGTTATTTTCATATGCAGTTATTTAATAGATAGGATACGTTATATATAATAAGTATGATTCTTAAAAATAAAACTTTTTTTTTGAGTTTGAAGAAGCTAGTTTTTCGTTTAGAGTAAATATGTAAAAAAACTAAAATGTCTGATACTATAGCATTTATATTATGGGTTGTTTTCTTGAAGATACATTCAATTATTCTAGAAATTATATATCTTACGTAAAATTAGTAGAGCACCGGTATATATGAAGGTTGATTTAGAACCTTTGGTAGATGAAGTTAAGGGTACATTGTGGGTTCATATGTTTGCGATGTTATAGCCATTGACGATTATGGTTTACGCAGTTGGGTAGTGTGTATGCACATTTGTTTAGAGAAAACAAATAGTCTATAATTTTAGATTCCAACCCCTTCTTCGGATGATTAACATAAGTGATGTAAAGTAATTAAATGGTGCAAGTTGTTTTATGGTGTTAGATTACGCCTTATTTACGTAATGTTAATAGATAAAGAGAAGTATCTTCAGAAAATAGCACATTAAAGATAAATGTTGATATGTTTTGCCCTAAGGGATTTACAGTATTTTTGTGGTAGATCGATATTTGTAAAAAATGAGAGACACATGAACTTCATGACTTATGACAAAATTTAAATGAAATAGATAATTGATATTAAAGGAAAACTAGCATTAAAATAAAATAGATTTTTTTTTAAAAACAATTATGAGGATTATTATCAGAAATTAAAATAAGAATAAGAAAATAATTAATTTAGTAGTAAAACAAAAAATGAGTCTAAACAATGGGTTTTGTTCATAAATAAGCATAGAACAAACTTTAAATTGTTTTGGTTTTTAAGAAGTAAGTCAAGTTTTAAAAAAAAAAAATAGAATGAATAAAAAAATTCAGTCATAATGAAATGTATAAAAAGGAAAGGCAGTAGGTTGCTGATGTTTTAAAGCAAATTAAAATGATATATATAAAAAAGAAAGGAAAGATTATGATGAAGAAACTATAAACTTGTTTTGGAAAAATGTAATAGATTAAGGAGAAAGGCATTTTTTTTTTCGCAACAAGGTGTTGTTGTCAAATAGGAAATATAGAGTAAGTAACAAATTGCGCAAGACGTAGTTAAAGTTTATCAATGTAATCTTAAATATTTTTAAGAGTGATGAGAATAAATTTGTGGACTATATTTAGCATTAAGATTAATTAATGAGAAACTAAAGTTAAAGACGTAAAAGTATTACAATTGGTTAAAAAGTAACACATATGATTTTTAGTAATTTTTTTTATAGGTATCATGTAGGTGTAGGGGTTATATAAAATGATCCATTTGAACTTATTTGATTGTAAATTTGTAAATATGTTCTTATGTCTTGTGTAAATAAACATATCTTTGTTTTTATTATGTAGGATTCTCAAAATTGTAGAAGTTGTATACAACAGTTTTTCCCCTTTTGTTTGTTTTTTTGTTTTTTTAACCAGATAATTCGATATTTAAGAGAACGTATTGATTTTATCTAGAAATTGTTTTATTAAATTTTGCTGGGCTTGGATAACCCAGTGAACTAAAGGCAACTGAACAAACGATTGATAAATAAAAAAGAAGTAAACAAGTTTTAGTTTTTCCGAATTGGGATAAGTTTATCAGTGGGTTAGGTGCGATCTTCATTTGAATAGCCATATTTTGTACTGTTAAATTATTAAGAATATATCTTGGTTAGCCAAAAAGAAAAGTGTGAATTCTGGTTCTAATGCCACGAACAACGGGTACAAAATGGTGTCAACGCTGTTGGTTGCAACAGATGTTACTGATTCCAGAGAGATGTCTTCCTCTGCGCCATTGATCAGGGACGAAACTTAACCGGAGACCGATGTTAATAGTCTCTTGAGAAAGATTTACCTAGAGATAGATACGTCAACAACTTAGTAATGGGACTAGATGGTAAACCTTACAACGTCAATGGCCGGATCTATTAGCAGATGATGACCGACACTTGTACGAAGAATTGCGCACTTTCCAGTAGTAGAGGAACAATATGCTATGATGGTGACGGGAAAAAGTATGCACAATATATACCCAAATATTGAACTTTATGAACCATATGAACTCTATGTATCCAGATGTTGGATTTGCCGAATTTTATGAACTATATATGTGGTGATGGTTACAGAAGACTTAACAAAAAACTACAGAATTTATAATAACCTACAGGAAGAAAAATACCGTATTTTATTGAACTTTCGTTTTATTTTGGATGGAAGGCATTATGTAACACAATTGTGTTCCATACGTTAATCATCAGGAAGTAACTAAATACAGCAAATCCGAAACGATTACATGTAACCTTTAGACACTTAATAACAATCTGTACGAATATTATAGACATATACCCTGCAGCCAATAAATGACCATGTCTACTGTGAAATAACATGTATCCGTCAGGGGTTAATTGCATTGTTTGACAAATAACCACAGACTAGTATTACTCCACAACCAGACTACTACGTAACCGGCCTACAACTATGGACCGTTTGTATGGACCACTGAACTATATAAGATCCAGCTTTGGACTCGAACGGCAGATAGATTGGTACAGATAGATTCGTACAGATAGAATCCGACAGGAGATTCCGCCAAGGTCTCCCCCCTTGTGGGTAGGCTGGAATTAATTCACTAACCATCCGAATTACTGAGTCTGGACCGAACAGTTATACCACTATATGATCACGTGTCCGTGTGACGATTTATATGAACATTTGAATAATTCAACTTTAAAGACAGTTTGTGAACAATCGAACAGAAACAGTCTTAACTTTGTAATTACATAATAAAAATTATTTATCCACTTAATGACTTCGTTACAAGTCGTAAATTTGATGCCGTTTAGACCAGGATCGACTTGGATTGGCTAAAACAACGCAAAGGAATATAAAACGTAAGAACTAAGTTACTTTCATTTTTTCTTTATTGACAATCAAGATATTTCTATGTCAGCGCAAAAAGTAGAAATGGCTTTTCAAGGGATGGCACACATGTTAAGTACATTTTTTAATTTTAAAGGGAGTGAGGCCGTATATTTAAAAGGCTTAAAATCAGAAGTTTGTTCACGAGCTGTGGTTCGCACGAAATTTTTTATTAGTATTTTTAGAGATTGAACGTCAATTTAAGAATTATGAATACACATATTCTTAAAACAATTGAAGTTAATTTTTTAGTTATTTTCATATGCAGTTATTTAATAGATAGGATACGTTATATATAATAAGTATGATTCTTAAAAATAAAACTTTTTTTTTTAGTTTGAAGAAGCTAGTTTTTCGTTTAGAGTAAATATGTAAAAAACTAAAATGTCTGATACTATAGCATTTATATTATGGGTTGTTTTCTTGAAGA